TGTAGGAAATTGAGGAGAAACTGTTAGTAGCTATTGTGACTAGAGTTTCCCTTTTAAAGGAAAGGTTAGTTGGAATGACTTCGTGAATTGGTCTCATCGAAATCCGAGGGAGGATTGCAGCGGAGTGAAATGAAGACTGTTGGTTATGCGAACAAGTCGTCGGCTCACCGTCCTACAAACTCGAGGAACATGTGGCAAGCTTTCGTTTGTCCACTTACGTAAAGTATGGTTCATTGCTGTAAAGATGTGTGTAACGGCGGAACGCACGAAAGCTTAGCAGCGGTTCATACGAATCTTAGGACATTGAGCACAAAACTTGTTCACACAATCCAACAAACTTCACCTCACTCAGCAGCAATCCTCCTTCGGTTTCCGGTGAGATCATTTCACGAGTTCCTTCCATCTAATTTTTCCTGCTAAATTGAAATTAGAGTAGCAATAATTCAAAAATGGATTCTTAAAAACCCAGTATTTCGTCATAAATACAAAGCATGGCGTGTTTTCACTGGGATCGACAGCTGGACAAGAAGCATATGACATGGTTTTTTGGTCAGACCGACCTTTGAACCTCTTCATCACCCAACCTCATTCGAAATGCAAGTGAGCTCAACAATTATAAACCAAAATATTCCTTGAAACTCAACTTTTCTTCATATTACAAGTTCCCTTAGCTCAAATCAAATATGGAAATATCGTAGATTAAAGTATAGTAATTCTAGTCAGATAGCTTTGTCTTTTCCTTTTGCGATTAGAAGTTTGAGTTGAATGGGCCTCTCTACATTTTATGCTTCTATTCAACGTCGTTAATGTGTCAACCTATTCAAATTTCACCCTATTTAAGCGTTTTATCCTTATTTTCATTCTTTTGATTGGTCCATAATAATAAAGCAACAATGCATCAACATTCGAGTAATATTTTTTTTTATAAGTTGGCTTTTGAGATGAACCTTATAAACGAAAAATAAGCAACGTAACCGATTGCCATAAACAATACAAATTTGCTTCAACTACAATCAAACCACAAAGTGTGATTTTAAATGCACACCTGTTCTGTCATCCAAGGACAGTCATGGCAACGTGGCATAGTGGATAAAGTGTGGAGAGTATACGCTGCAGTATTATGCTTTGAGTCCAGCTGAGGGTGTTATTAAGGCCTAGTCTAGGTCGAAATTGCAGCCCATTCCAATCCGGATGAGAATAGCTTTTGGGAAGCAAAGCTATGTGAAATGCAATGGATGCGTAAGGTCTACTTATATCATTGTGGGAAAATTTAAAGACCAGTCCTTCATCAACTTAAACAAAATGGGGTGAACATATCTCATATACTTTATTTACTATTCCCTAAACGAAATAATGTGAGTACCTCTTTGCTATTACTTTAAGTAACATATTTCCGTCTTTATTTTCCTCTGGTATGGAATTTTGACATAAAATCATTTGAAAAATCTATGCCATTCTTGTTCTCTTGCCCGAATTCTTTTCAGGTCTCTGGTGACCTAACAGTTTTATTATAAAGCTTATTTATTGTTAGCTATAGTTGAGCGCCTTTGGTGCATTACTTGGAATTGGGAAATACCAGACTGTGAAGTAGCCTTACATCATTTTACAGTCTAAAGTTTAGCAAGTATCCATAAAAGTCGCAGGACGGTCAGCCGGAGACTTCGTCATCCGATCCAACAGTCCCCATTTAAAGGCGATTCTGCTTCGGTTACCGGTGAAACTAATACAAGAATGTCTTTCATCCGACTTTTCCTTTGAAATATAAAGTCATGTCTCAATAGGTAATCAAGGGAATCTTCAAAACCCAGCTTTTCTTTACTCTGACTGTTGGATAGGCTTAAGCAGAGGGCAAGAGAGAGAGAGTGCGCGTGTGCGTGTGTGTGTGTGTATGTGGAGAGCAGAAGCCACTGAACAAGAGGTGGTGTTTTGAGTTTTCTTAAGCCCGATTAGGGCTAAAACACATACATACGCACAAAACACAATGATATATATACCTAGACAAGCGTCAAAACTACAGGATCAAATGCTAATTTATGCGCACAAAGAAGCAGCTGTCACCATATCCACTTCGTTTTCATACATCAACCCGACTTGCCTGAAAACCTGTGGGGCAAGTATGAAGTAGCCAACTAAATCATAGGATTCCCCATTAAGATGGAAAAAGTAAGTAGACAAAATGAGAGAGTCTGGATGGACGTGATTCTTAGTGACGTTTGATCGGTTTCGCTGGACGGTGAGCCGAAGACTTCTCTGCACACCACCCTTCGGTATCCAACGCGACGAATTCACAAATTACTTCAACCAAGTTTTGCGGAGAAATGGAAAATCGAGTCGTATCAAATGGTGGCTGGTTTCCGAGTACGACATGGTGTTGCGTCGTGCTGGCAATGCCGACGGGATCCAGAAAATCAGCCAAATGGATCTGCCGAACAGCCCAAGTGGGAAAAGCCTTCTGGAAGCAGAGCCTACAAGTGAAGTGCAATGACATCGTGAGGCCTTCTACCCAAGCTACATTGTCGGAAATTCAACCGCCAGTCCTTACATCAGCTGAAGTGGCTCAAAGGGATTCGGGATTAGATTAAAGAGTCGCCGGTAGATTGTAAACATGTTCAATTCCTCCGAAAGCGAGAGAGAGAGCCGGTGGAAGGTACCTAGTCCTGTGTCCTCTGTCATAGTATTCGTGATTTCCAACATCGGACCATTGAGATGGTACATTCCCAACGTTTCGCCGGCATAATAGGCGGCAATGTCGTTGAGAGGCATCGTCGTTAGGGCATAGTTACAACTCATCAAAGTGGCAAGTGAAGGCAATCCTTTCGACCAATTTTCTATTCAACCGCAGTGGCATCATTCCTCGACCCTATTTTTCGCTCTACCTTCTAACTCTGTATTTCTTTATCTCAAACGCACTATCTATTCACACCATTCTGTGTTCTCGTTTCCTCCAATGCCGCCTGAGAGTATGACGCTACAAGTGGAACTAGTGAAGCGCAATCACCTTCACCTTCACTGTTTGCAGGATTTCTAGATCATAGCTTCAATTCATTTACATAAGATGTATTCATCCTTTTCGTGTAAGGCGATCAAAGGACTGGTAGTTGAATTTTTCCAACAATGCTGAGTAGACCTTACAGTTTCATAGAATTGTACATGGCCTTGCCTTCCCAAAAGGTACCAAGAGAAACTGGGTTTCGATGAATCGCCTGAGAAAACAGTGTTGGGGGGACCTTCATTTGGTATGAAAGTGCATGAAGAAGAGATTCGTCGGTCGATCTCACCAGATGAAGACGGATGAATCGCGTTGTACTGCAGCCGTTTGGCCGTTTTATACGATGTTCCGGTTGACGCAGTCCACGCACACACTCGAGCAAAAGTAGCAAGACCAGTATGAAGGATAATTAGCCAAACCACTCGATATCTATCTATCTGGGTTCTTGACTTCTTTTTGCTTAATTGAGTTTTTATGAGAGATAAGATAGAGCCTGAAGGTCTTCTTGACCTAGTGTCAACGTGAGACTTTTACAGGAATGACACCCAGCTCTGATGATGTCCATC